AGTCAAACCAGCTTTTCCCCCTAACAACGATGCTCAGCAGTAGACTAATAGGCAGAGTGAGTCAGTGGCTCCGTCTCCTGTCTCCCAGGCTGCCTGGAGGGGCTGTATTGATAATATCCCAGCCTGCAAGGCTCAATCCATCCCCTGGGGCGCTCAGCAGCAAGTGGATGAAGAGTCCCCGGACGGTCTTTTGGCTCCACAGCTAGACATTGCAGCAGAGGAAGAGATCTGAACACGATAGAAGGCAGGTACACATGCATGCACAGACACACACGTGCGCGCAAACCGGCACACTGCCCGAGCACCTTCCCCACACCTCATTTATTCTCATTTTGAGTCTCCCTTCTCACACTAGCTGCAGAGTGAGGGGCAGAGAGCAGTGATCACAGAGGAGGCGAGGAGATGTATGAGGGTGGGGGAGGAAAAGAAGAGGAGAGAGAATGACAGCCTATGCCGAGGATCGTCCTCCTCTCTTCTCTCCCATCAGAAGTGCTAATCCAGCCAGCGGAGGTGCAGACCACCGCTCACACCTGCCTGCTTCTCTCCATCTTGTTAGGGGCCAGATGGGAGAGAAAGTGACTTCCTGCTGTACTTCCACCACAGGGCTCGTTCCCTCACATTAATACCTTTACTGCTCGGCTCCATTTGTTACACACACTCAAGACACACACTCAGGGGGAGCCTGGGGCTGTGAATGATAGCCATATGCAGAACTCTGCTCATCTATAACCCCCTGTGGCTGGAACAAAGTACAGTAGACTCCTTGAGTGTTGAAACCAAGGTTAACATTTGGAGGTGGTGCAGTGCGATATGGTGGCTCTGCGTAGAAGTCCGTCAAGCCGGGGGCCGACGGCTTCATAAAGGTTAGTGAAGTGGGTTTATAGGTAGAAGGTCACTGATTTAAATTTAAATTTGTGAGTCTGTGTGTGTGTAGAACTCTGGCAGGTGAGGTGAACGAGTAACTCGCCCACTGTGAGACGCCATGTGACTGCTCTGCAGCCAATAGCAGCCAGCGGTCACTGCACAGCTCCCAGGTGTGTAAGTGTGTTTAATATGTGAATGTGAAACAAAGCAGATCTGGAAAAGCGTGCATGCTCAGCACTACTCTCCCCCCTGACATATAGAGGTAAAAAAAACAAGATGGGAGCTGATGGGAAGATCAAAGAAGAAAATACTGGAGGACTTGCACTCAGACACACCAAACCAACTGGTGTACCATTAAAATTCAAACAGGGCAAACCAAGGGTATGGAGAGTGATGCACAATGATTGATGTGTGTGCGTGTGTGTGTTTGGCCATGAAATAAAATAATCGAAGATTATTCTTTTCCATTACACAGGATGCAACATTTTCCTAGATAGTTCGTTGATTAATGAAGCCCTTTGTGCTGGTTGAAGAAAGACAAAAACATGGTGACCTCTGCATGAATAAACATGTATCACCTTGAATTAGCTCCAACCAGCATTGTGTGTGTGTGTGTGTGTGTGTGTGTGTGTGTGTGTGTGTGTGTGTGTGTGTGTGTGGGTGTGCGTGGGTGTGTGTGGGCGTGCGTGTGCGTGCGTGTGTGTGTGTGTGCGTAGCGCTAAAAATGAAATCACTGAGACAAGTGCTGTTTTCAGGGTTGCAATGAGATGTAGGTGTGGATCAAAACTTAAGTGTTTCATCTGGAAAACATGCACTTTCTTCAACTGCGCCTTGTGTGTTTGAATCATACTCTTAATTCTTTACCACAATACAATTAAATAATTTATTAAAATCTTGGGCTGCAAACAAATATTGTTTAATCTGCCATTTATTTTCTCAATTAATGGTTTTGTCTATTAAACAACCGATAATATTGAAAAATGCTCAATATAAATTCCAGAGCCTTGGCATATATTCAGAAGTCTAGTTTGGTCAGCTTACTGGCGTATGTGGTGAGCAAAAGTTTATAATCCTTCGAGAAAATGGAACCAGCAAATATTTTCCATATTTGATTTAAAACCAGTAGAAATGCTCAATAGTTATTTTTATTTCAGTCAACTAATTGATAGTTTGACAAATTGTTTCAGCTCCAAATCAGAGTATGTGATAGATGAGCAGGCAAAATTAGGGCTGCAGTCATTGGCTGTACATAATTAGGGCACAGAACTTCAGGATCTGGGAAGTGAAGTACTACACAAACCAATGGCTGACGTCACGATAGGTTGATACTTGGCTGCTATTAACAATCATTTTCATTCTTGATTTATTTGTTTTAGTTTTGATGAGTAATCTGTTAATATTATTGCTTAGTCTACAACGTGAAGGAAAATGGTTCATAAGGTCATAAAGTCCAAGGTGACACCTTTAAATAGCTTGTTTTGTCTTTAAACCACAGCACCCCTCCATGTGCGCCCACCATCACTGACGTAAACAGCATTTTTTGAAATTTTAAAATACACTCCTGATTAATTTCTATCTACTAATGATTTATTAGACTCATTATTTTATCACCAGGCCTACATGAACAGTAAGAAAACCACATCCTTTTAATAACGATAATTATGGACTAATCCCATAATTATTTTATTATGAGTATAATTAAAACCAAATATGGCCACCACATGAATTAATAAACAAACAACAAGCAGGAATTACATTTTAATTATTTTACACCCTGCCTGAAATGTTGACTCATTAGCAAAATATATTTTAGTCAAATCTTAGTTTTACTTTGCTCTGAAAATATGAATGTGTCACAGATAAAAATGGAAATGTGTGTGTACAGTAAATAACCTGAGCCACTGGGACAAGCTGAGTGAAGACCGTCCAGGATCCTCAGTGTGCATGTGTTTATCTGTTGGTTTATGTGTCAGTTACAGGCAGGACCCCTGCTGAGAGCAAAGATGTTGTAAATGAGGCACCACCAATAATGTATTGCAGCGGGTGTCATTGAATGTGTCCCTTTGAGAATACACATAAAACACACACACACACAAATGTCAGGGCACAGAGGCAGGTGTGAGGCCTGAAAAACTAATATAACACAGCAGTGAACATATGTGAACATGCTATACACACACATACAGTAGAGTACATGCTGCCATTACACACACAGTGAGTAGGAGACATAGATAATACACACACACACACACACACACACACACACACACACACACACACACACACTTGCGTATAGCAGGCAGTATTTGTCTGATAAGAAAGGTCACTTTTGTCATTTTGAAAGCACACAAACCACTACAGGCTCCACTTTTAAAGCTTTACCAGAGAGGAAAAAGAGGGCAGCCGTGCCTCTGGACACCTCGCTCAGGCAGTCATAATTACAGAACAAATCACACTGCTCTTTTCCCTCCATGTTATTTGAAATAGTGGATTAAGAGCAAAAAAAAAATAGAGCAGCTTGGCCATCTGTGTTTGCAGGAGTGTCTGTGTGTGTGTGTGTGTGTGTGTGTGTGTGTGTGTGTGTGTGTGTGTGTCTCTGTCTGCTTCCTTATCTCATCTGAACCATCCACCTCTCACACAGCTCCCAGTCGGTCTTTTACTCTCCAAGCCATAGAGGTCGGCTCAGGGCCCTGAAACTGGGTCATCTGGGTGTTGGTTTAAAAAAAAAAAAGGAAAAAAGGCTGGACACTGGCTGCAAAGCTGCCTGGACCACGCGCAGGTAGGGGAGGAAGGGATGGAGCAATTGATGGGGCCGAGGAGAGTGACGAGTGGAAAGGTCAGGACAGAACAGCGCAGCCCCGTTGCTGGGGGAGATATTTTTGGACAGCACGCCGGGGTCGCAGCGCCAGACTGTCAGCCTCTGCTCTGCCGTGGCCAAGGCGGAGGCCAGAGAGCCTCAAGGTCACGCCCCGCACCTCTTCTGCTGACAGAAATAGGGAGGGAGAGAGGGATGGCGGCAAGAAGGAGGGGTGAAAAAGGTCACAAGAACCTGGATGTCATGCTGCTGTTACAGGTCTAAATAAAACTCACTTCGTTCTTCTTGAGCGTGGATGGGTGCACACACACACACACACACACACACACATCCGTGCAGGGCGGCTTTCAGGTCAAGATGGAACAAGAAAGGACTGCTGGGTACACACTCTCATTTCTGAGGTGAGTGACAGTTCAGGAGTGTCACCTGTCCACAGGGGCATGTGATATGAAATGTGATATCAGCGCTGATGCTGACCCACATGGGCTGAGAGCTGCTCAAGTAACGGATATCAGGCGGACAGGAAGTTTTAAAACCCACAAACTAGAGTGCGACTGCACTTAAATTCAATGTTTATAATTAGTTCCGCTCGATTTTACCTATTTATTTGTTTCACAGCTCTTACTTCCATTGATACTATCTCAGGTAATTAATTGTTTTTAAAAAAATAACTGAAAAATATTGAAGTTGCCCCACCAAAGAGCCGCTTGCTGAATTGTAATGTAGCTCTGCCTTTTTCTCAGTCAAGAAATTAGATATGAGGTCCCCCCCCCCCCCCGGCCAACACCAAGCTTCAGAACATTTGTTAATCGGCTGCAAAGAAAATATATAATGCTGCATAAAAGCTGAATAATAATTATTTTAGTGCATTGGCTATTATAGCCTTTTTTGCTGTAATTACCTTGAGCTTGGTTCAATCTGTGCTGCATTATTCTTTATCATTACCCATTATAGAGCCGTGAATGTGATACATTCTTAATAAGATATGTTAATATTTTAACAACGGTCTGATAGTCGAATGGTTAAGGCAAATACCGTGTAACCACAATGTCCTGCTTCAGTTCCCGCCAGAGACCTTCACTGCATGTCATACCACTGTCTGTTCATGTTTCGAGTCTATTTCTACACTATCAGCTGTCCACTGAAGGCAAGTCCATCTGGATTTTTAATTTAGTTATCACAAGAAAATGCACACCACATGAAGTTCATTTTCATTTTTATGTCCTCTTTCATACATTCTCTTTTCTCTCTCTCTGTTTCACTTGTCACACACAAACTGATTTCTACCTAAAGTAAACAGATGACAAAAAGAGGAAATGTGTTTGTTTAAACATTTTATTGCTATGTAAAATTAAAAATCTCATACCTCTGATGAAAAAGTACTACTCTTAAATAACACAAATAAAATCAGGCAAAACAAACATATTTGGCATTGTGAATTGATGTTCAGTGTATGGGGAGAGTTCAATTTGAGCAGATTTAGCACAGTCAGAATTAATGTTATAAAATGCACACTGTACTGTACTGCACAGGCTGCTCACAGACTACCATCTTTAAGAGTCTAGTCACTGTATCATCTCATGGGGTAGCACACAGAGCCAAGGAAACTACTAAACATATAACACTGCATTTCTCCCTATCAACATTTAATACTATATTTAACTGAGGTCCTACAGTAGTTTCATGGCATATTAACCTTAAATAAAAACCCAACTGAACACATGAAGTAGATGTGCTTATTATTGGCACATCCATGATATCCCTGGCACTTGTACGTACAGTGCGGTGGGGAAAAAGGCAGCAGCTGCTCGTCCCAGGCAAACCTCCACTGTTGCAGTACATTTGAGCCGAGTCACTCAATGTGCTGCAAACTCTCTAAGCGATGCAACCAGAGACGTGCACGGACATTTGGAGGGGCTGTTGCTCTAACCCGAAAAAAAAAAAAAAAAACCTCCCTATATGTTAGCTAGCTAAGATTGGTTTATGTGAGGACATTATATAAGGCAATGTTGCGTGACATGATGCAAACGTGGCGAGGTGCACATTGTCTGGAAGAATATATGGATCTTTTAGTTTATAGGCCATTCCATTGGTTATACTATTCATCGGTAATCATTTCCACAACCTCAGCCCTCGCACAAAGGACAACAATACCAAATTTGATACTACAGTGTCACATGACGGACAGCCACCACATCTCTGTGTCCTGCTGAGACATGCATCAAAAAGTAATAAAAGTTTAGATGATCTGGTGATTTCATTAGGTCTAACTTTAACAATTACATTATTATTCTTATTGTTTCCCTCTCCAAAGGGGCAGCTCAGGCAAACGGAGCAAATAAGCCGTTTCTCGGGCAACTTCAGCCCGACCTTGTGCACGTCCTTGGATGCAACACTTGCGTAATTCTCCTGAACTCATCCATACTTAAGACGACAAATCTACAAGTGTCTCCTCCGGAGTGCAGCCGATACAAAGACATAATAATTAATGACAACACAAAACTTCAAGTATGTTCCAAACGCAGCTCCTCTGTCCTAACCACTACATCTGGGTGAGGGACTAAAATCTAAGCATGCAAACACTACTTTTAATGTGCACCCACTTTCTCTTTCTGTGACAAACTGCCAAGTGCATATTAGGAGCTGGGTGCTCTCTGAGACTGAAGTTTGGCTCTTTTGCGCTGTGGCTTCAAAGTCAGCTCGTTCTCTACAAGGCAAAGAGGCTTGGCTTTACTACACTGACATTCTAAACATTGTGTTGCTTAATAGTGCTGCACTTAATATCACACAGGTAAAACATGAAGCATTAGCATTCAAAAGTTAAACATTTTGAGTTTTCTGGGCACCCTCTCTTCAGTAAAAACTAGAACATAAAGTGACTGTTAAAACATTTATAAACATAAAGCCTCTGATATAAGTTATGAAATAATTTAAATTCAGAAATAAAATAACTGATTACAGCCAGCAAAAATAAGCTTTTTGTTGTTGTTGTTTTTTACATCCACTTTCTCAAACAAGGGATAGCTTTGTTAATATCATTCCATATCTGCATTCTGCATCAGCATTCACTGCATTCATCATGGAATACCATACAAAATAAGTAAGTACATAAATAAATAATCCTTGCATTGTTTAGTGTGTGTTAATCTTTCTTTTTACAGTACCATGACTTGTAACTGTACAGTGAGTAGGTATAATACAGCAATTACAATGAGAAAAGAGGGGTGAACCCATTGTCTGGTGTTACTGGGGCTAAAGATGAGGGTCGAGGGTACAGGTGGTCTGCTGGTCTAGGCAGGTCCAAACTAGTCTAAACTGAACAAGGCCCTTTAGCAGTCCCAAATCACCTGGCCTTTCTTTGTTGGTCTTCCACAGGGGGGGGTTTGGCCAAGGATGAGGCTCCATACGGTGTCCAGAGCTGCTCCAAATTAAGATCCATACTGGACTTGCTGAGATCGGAGTTTGGCTGGGATAGAGTCAGGGGAGGGGAGGTGTTGAGGTCAAAAGGCGAGGTGTCAGAAGCCAGGGTTGCCACGGTGACCTCAGAAGTGGCCCATTCTGGCGGCGAAAAGGCTGCGTGAGCGTGGCATGGCCGAGGAGATGCGGCCAAAGCTGGACGAAGGCCACTTCATGATGAACTGGGAGGTCACTGGCAGCAGATACCTGGACAGACGGACAAGAGCGAGGGACGGAGGGATTAGGGGAAAGGATGAACATAATGAGAGGATTAGATATGCAAAGGTCACAATTTAGAGGTCAGGACGCATTAGTGCTCAGCACTGAGACCACATATTGCCCACTTTTCATATATTGACTCTACCATTTATGGTTGTCTCCGTTTGCACATTTCAACTTTAATAATGGCCCGGTGATTTCAAGATATGACATCACCCTTCCCTTGAAAACGAGAAAAAAGAAAGAAAAAGGCTGTGGCTTAAATCGTGAGATCCATATGATTTGGGGTATTTTGTGTAGGGCTGCAACCAAGGGTTATTTTCATTAGCGATTAATATGCAGATATATAATATGCAATATGCCAGAAAATAATTTAAAGAAATGTTATAACGACCAACACCAACTGTACAAAAATTATAGTTTACTATCCCGAAGAAAAGCGTAAAATCCTCTTATTTGAGAAACTGGAAACAGCAAATGGTTTGCATTTTTGCCTAAAAGAATGACTCAGTTATCAGAATAGATAGTGATTCCTTTTCTGTCGACTGATTAATCGTTGCAGCTCCAGTTTTGTGTAATGTCCCAAATCTACGAGGTTGCAGTATTTATATATCTTCTTGTAAAGTAAGAAATTATGGGCCTTATACTGACAGAAGCAGACCTTTTTTATCTTTCAGGACAACTTAATTTTTCAACTTTAACCCTTAAATCTTTGGTATCATGAACATAAAATCCTCACCTATCATTCCGAGGCATAGACGTCAGTACCTTTCTAAGACTTTTCTATGACACCTTCCACCGAGACAGAGCAGTGAGGCAGCTCCTGCTAACAGCGTTCCAGTACCTGAGAATGAGACCAGCGTCAGGTTGAGATAGAGTCAGGAGGGGCTGAACCCTGCTCCCATCTTCCTTAGTTACTGGAAATGAGTCAGATATGGTTGTCAGAGCAATGTCAGATGAGATGATCAAATCCTGGACAAGGTTAACTGAAGGTTATGCAAATGTCGGGGGTACTGTTCAGAAGACATGAGACAGGGGAATTTGAATTCTTCCAGACTGATCAGTTGGAAGAATGACTTACATTTATGGGCTTTCATGGCACACTTGTCATATTGTGATATTATACATAACGTGACCATCTTGCCACATCGGCAGCAAGGATCTTTAGCTAATAAAAAATACATCTAATACTCGTTTAGTTAAACGAGTACAATGGTCAAAAGAAATAGTCCCTGTGGAAGTGTTTAAGATGTGACAATCTAATCAAAAGGGAGCCACTGGGGCTGAGGATTACAGAGTGAAGAAATAATATCTTCTTTTAAGCTGGTGCAGAGATAGCATACTTTTTTTTCTTTGACAGCTCTCTCTCTCCTTGTGAAATAGCTCTTGGACAAATTAGCTGAGCAGCTTCTTCTAAAGTCGACCGGAAAAGAGAGGGAAAAAAAGCACATGTCGCTGAGGGCGTCCGCTTCAACACAGCCCCCAGACCCAGGAGAGTTAGGAGGGATTCAAATTAACTTCATTTAGTCCAACGAGAGTGTCCTTGAAACAGCTTCAAGTGGGCCGTAGGTATCCCTCCAGCACATCTTCTTCGGCTCTGACTGGTCTTGGTGAGGGCTCAGTCCGGCACTCCTTAAACTCCTCCACTCAAACCCCAGAGAACAGGTGCTTTGCTTTAAGCCTTTCACCTTTGCTTCTGTAAGGTAGTGCTCTCTTTCAAGTGACATTCAGTGATTTCATACCATGATATTGTGTCAACCTTGGATTCATGTCTTCTATGCGTCTTATTCGTTTTCCCCCACAATCCCGCTCAGCACCTTATTCTATCACCTTCTTCTGTGATCACCTTCGTCTATAAAATTCACCATACATCCATTGGTATTCTGCTCATGGATTTGTGGTACAATTTCTCCTTTCTCCCCTCCATTTCCATAAGGTTTACACTGAAACCCAAAGCCCATGCATGGAAATGGCAGAAAAAAAAGAAAAGAAAATCAAATATTGAACATTCTTCAGGGGCCGAGTGTGTGTTCTTCAGAGATCCTCTGCTATTCACTTTGAGAATATTCTGCACATAGAAAGAATCACGGTGGTGGTACTGGCAAGGGGTGGAGTAGGGGGGCTTCTTACGTCCAAGCGGCTGCTGTCTCTGCAGGCTATATTTAATTGGACCCTCATTCGGCATCTTCCAGGTTCGTCCTCCTTTTGATCATGAAGAAGGTCTTGGCAACAGCGTGCATGCTTTAAAGCCAGGGGGAGGCTTGTTCGTGCACTTGTGCTTTGCTTCAATCCATCAATTGACAGGGAGACAGAGATACTCCTGCTCCGTTCCTTACATGCAAAGCTACAATCTACCACTGTTCCTACTGACAGGACTTCCGTGCTACTCTTAAGTCCTCCATCGAGATGCAACTGCCACAGCAAATTACGAGGAGGCCAGACAAGCCAAACTGCCATGACTAAGGATGGAAGGGAAGACTGCCACGATAGCTGACGCAATCGTAAACCAAGAGGTACAAAGAGGCTTGAAGGTTATCTGCAGCCCACATTCAGCTCAACACCCCAATTAACCCTAATTACTGCCACACTTTTCAGACAGATGAAAGTTAATAGAATCTGAAACTTTTGTCATCATGGGAAAATTGTCTTTGGGTAGTGACAGTAATTTCAGGCTTAACAAGAAAGTCATTAGTAGAGCTATTTGGCTACTTCCTCTCATCTGCCCACACAGACTGAAGGACTTTTCGAAGACCCATGAGGCTGTTGACACACCTGATCAGGGCACTCCACAGAGGAAGGATGCTTCAACAAGAGTGGGCAGGTGTGGTCAACAACGAAGACCCCAAAGACCCCAGCTAACAGACCCACTTTGACGTGTGCCAAAGGCTGCCAAGAGCTCTGCGAGTGTATGTGTTATGTATGTGTGTGTGCATGCACAAAAGACAGTGTGGAGCCAATTTGGCCGGCATATAGGATCTTTGATTTCAGTGTGTGAAATGGTTTTTATTTTTTAACGTTTGATTACAGATTTAACTGCAAAAGGTGAATGGAAATGGTAAAACTTGATTGAAAAATTCCTCAATCTCAGTGTCATTCAGTGTCTGTCCACTTCAGCCTTGAGAAATGTCACACAGGCTTGAAGAATGGCTGTGTTCTTAATCATGGTCACTAGCTTGCACATTAGGATATTTCACATTTCTTAGTTCAAAACAACTCATCTAATAGGAATCAGTTATTGATCCACTACTTCTTTGGTGTTTTTGTCTTATAGTGTAGTTCAGTAAAGTTGTTAAACCTACTTATATTTTATTCTTAATTAATAAATTAAAGGATAGTTTCACATTTTTTTTCAAGCATGTTTTAAAACATTACTCACATGCCTCTATGTACATTGAAGATTGCTGGTTGCAGTAATTATTACTGTATTTTTACAATTCTAATGCAAGAGATGGGAGACGAAATCCACAATCCTCTTGCCGTGCAAAAATGCATTATAATGGCATTATGTAGCTTCAGCAGTCTGAATTGGCAATTCAAGTGGGTATCTTCTAAAGCTAGTCTTTTTGCTACAAAATTCCCTCTTTGTGCTTCCCTAGACAGTAAGAATATTTTTTGGGGGGAACAAAGACTGTGGATTTTGTCCCCAATCTCTCTCTCTAGAAGCGTTATAAAGGGATCTCTTCACCATCAGTATGGACAACCAGAAAACTGTTTCAATGTAAATATGGGTATGGGAGTATTGTTTCAAAACAAACTTAAAAAAACCTATCCTTTAAATTTACTTGTTGGACGTAAACACAGCTCAAGAGAAATAATTTGAGGTTAGCTGAGTGGGAAACACTGAAGAGGGACGGGTGATTGTTACATAACAGTAGCAAGACATGTGCATGCACAAGCGCACAGCACACACAGACACATACACACACCCTCGTATATACGCAATTTACCCTCTCACATAAAGCTTATGCATCAATGAGAAAATAATCCTAATTGCTTCCAGCTATCTGAAGTGGAGGCGAGTTGCGACTGTTCCCTGCATGCCTGATGGAGAGATGCGAACCGTTTGTGTTGTGAAACTGCAAACCACACGATGCAAAGCCGAGCCATTTTCTGTCTTCTTGAGACAAGAAGAGAGCGGTGCTTAGGTTGATCATGGTACTGATGCGGTGCAGGTGAGGCGCTTGGTTTCCACTGAGGCCACTCATACTGAAAATGCACTCAGGGTAAGATGCTCTTGAGAAAAAGCATTGAGTGAAAGTCATAGTTTAGCATGTGGCAGCAAGGTAATTGGCTGGTGATGTGTACAACAAGCTGGTTGCAAATGGTTGCAGTGTTGACAAACAGTGCTCTAAACAGTCTGAATATGCTTCCTTCTCCTATCTCCTTCCTTTCTAATACATTGTTCCTAGTTATGGGGCTAGGAATAATCAGTTAATTTGAAACACATCCCATTCTCATGTTGTATAAGTCAATCAAAAACATCACTTATTTGAGTATTAGTGAGGGAAAGGAGAGGCGACCATGCTAGACTGTTGGTTGAGCAGCCAAAAGCAACCATCATTGGGCAGGTGGGGACCAAGCCTTGGTTAAAGCTGTGAGGTGGTGGGAACTGCGGAAAGCAGGGAACAGGGACGGTGCTGGAAGATGGTGGGAGGGGGGGTTTAGCAGAACTAAACCGAGCAGAGACCTGCGTCGAGGGGCGAAGAGACGGAGGAAGAGGAGGAAGAAGAAGCGGCAGCGACAGCAGCAGGGGTGGAGCCATGGGTAGAGGCTGGTCCAGCGGCAAATGGTAAGCTTTTTTACACAGACATATATAGACATGGAAGAAATAAGGAGAGACAGACCAATGCATGCTTAAAGGGACTCTCAAGGATACCTACTGCAAACATGTGGTCCAATTTGTCATTTTGTGCATGCTTGAGTTATTAAATCCAATTACAGTTATATCTTTAAAACCTCACATAGTCCACTGATAAATGTATATTCTTGAATCTATCTATCTATATGCTCAAGATACAACAATCAATAGTAACAATGTCAGATTAGGTTAAACATAAGTAGCTCTACAACTGTACACAAACCCCACTTTTTTTTTTTCTTCCAACAGCTGAGGTTTTTATACTGTAGGCGCAAAGTGATAGCCTGTTAAAATATGCGCAAGAGTTATGAATCATGTAAAGCGAGGCCCCAGGAAAAAAGGAGCTCTCTCTCTCTCGTAAGGTCATTTGCTGCACAGGCTCATCTGGGCTCTAATTGAATTAAGCAGGCCTCGGGGGGCCCCGGGCTAACCTGAGCGCTAATCTGTGGGCCATTATTTCCTGTTAACAGCACACTCCTTCTCTCTCTCTCTCTCTCTCTCTCTCTCTCTCTCCCCCCCAACCCTCCTCTCTCCCTCCCTCCCTGTCTGCCAGCTCAAAGCATATGTGCTTTTTAAAAGTTCGCTCACTCCAAACCTGAGCTGCTGTCTCCTGCGGGGATCAACCTTAAAAATAGAAGGAGGCTGTTTTTTTATTATTTTTTTCCTTGTTTGTTTGTTTTATTGGGGCTGTGTGACGAAGATGATGGCTCTAAGGCTCCGTGGAGGAGAGAGGAAATGTTTCCTCTGAGAGGTTTAATGATGATAGCTGTTGAAATTTTCAAATCAAAGTTTTCTTGTCTGCACGTCAAAGTGTGTTTATTCTTTATTCTTTTTTTACCCTGTTTAGGTCCCTTTTCTCTAAAGGGAGTTTTAACAAAGTTTATTACTAGGCTTCGTTGTGGATCATAAAGGTTCAACAAACCTAGCTTCAAACTCATCTGGACCTAAAGGAGAAAGACACCAAAATAAATATTCCGAACACAAAGGATGTCTCCTGTTAATCTTAACACAGGTTCAGTATTCCTCTGGGGTTATTTTCCTGCCCGTGATATGTGAGAGTATGTATAAGAGTTCAATACCTTCCATAATGACGAGTACAGCTTTAATCTGGGACCTACCAGCAGACTCTTGTCGTATCCTTGAATCTTATCCAGCCACCCTACTGTAAAACGAACTATCTACTGCAGTAGGAATGCAAGAGCTCAGTGGGAAGACATCAAAGGGTTGGGCGTTCTTCTCACCTGGTGTCGTCCCATTCGGGGCTGAGCCCGGTCAAAGAGCCGCGGGACTCTGAGACAAACTTGTAGACGACCAACAGGCAATCTCGGCACAGCTGGACCAGCCGGCGGCAGCACTGCAGCTCCTGGGGTGACACCACCTCGCTGCTCTTACTGAAGATGGTCTCCCACGATGAACTGGAAATTAAATGAGAAGGCACGAGCACAGACACGGAGCGTAATTAAGTTGGTAGATCGCCATGAATTCATCACTATACAAAAGTAAACACTTCACATATACCATGTACAGATTATAGATTAAATCACATACATTAACATATATGGAAATGTGTTCTCTAATGTGTGTCCTTTACTGTACATGTGTGCGTATACATTTACACACACACACACACACACACACACACACAGACAGGCAGGAAGACAGACAGACACACAGAGAGGAAGGATGAAACAAATCCAAGTACAGTTAACCCCCTTTACAACCCCGGACATACCCCTGACTGTGAGAGAGCTTCAACAACTGAGACACACAACTCCAGGGGGTACGTTTGATGTCTACCCCCTTTCACTCCTTGGTAGGTGGGGGGTGCTTCCTCTGAAAGGGTTCAAAACTGTGTGTGTTTCTATTCTCTTCCTCTAAGTCGTTTTTCAAAGCCTGTTGAATTCATCACCCACAATAGCTGCTAGGCCGTTTGATTGTTGTTAAGTCCCTTAGATAAAATATCAAACAAGAGACAGAGGAGCAGAGGGGGGCGGGGGGTACGCACTCGCATTTGGAGTGTGGTTTTCGAGGTGCAGTGCTTCACCATGGCCGTGTGACATCGGGGGCCCCCCTGTTGGGTACATCCATGTTTGGGCCATGGCCTGTTGTAGGGAGGGGCTGGACGGTAGACTAGCAAGCGAGCTGAATCATCCAGGGCAGGTTGCGATCAGACAAAAGCTGCATGTGGCGCAGCGTGCTGTGGGTAGCTGAAGCTAGGCTAGGCTAATCCTCCGGGGCCTCAACCCCTCCACCCTCCACCGTTTTTTAATACAATTTCTCATTTTCAATCACTGTCTTCTCCGTTTTTTTCTGTCACTGAGTTCCTGCCCTTCTTTCCTTCTGCTATCCCCTTCATCTCTATCACCCGCTCACTCCCTTCCTCACTCTCCCTCAATTACAACTGCCAAGGAAGGAAGGGAGGAGGACAATGGAGAGCTGTGGACTTCAGTTACACCCTCTGAGCCCTCTGTGTCGAGGGAAACACGGCCGCTGAACAACTGAACTGTAAAGAATATGGAGAGGAGAGGATTGAAGAAGGTCACACCTCTATCACAGTCAAGATGAAAAGCTACCAGATCAGCAGCTGTCTGCATGTCAGGGTTATACGTGTGTGTGTGTGTGTGTGTGTGTGTGTGTGTGTGTGTGTGTGTGTGTGTGTGTGTGTGTGTGTTTTGTTGCGTTGCGTGTGTGGCTCTGTTTGAGGGTGCTTAAGTGTGAAGAAATAAATGTGTGGAAACCAACTTCACGCATGTGAAGATGTCTCGCCGTGTTTGTCTGTCTTCTTTGAGGGAAGCAAAATATGTGTTTAAGAAAGCCAATGTGAACCACTGATGGGCAACAGTAGTTTTATGTGTGTGCGTTTGTGTGTCTTGTCTGATGTTTTGGGGTTTCTATAGGGACATGATCAAGTGGGCTGTCACTGCAGTGACTCATCTAATAGGAAGCCACTTTGTGCCGCATCAAAAAAAGTAGGAAAAAAAACCTAAAAACTTCAAAGTATCTGATAACAAACTAAAGTAAAAGAACTAAGAGGCCTTCATTCACCTTCTTCCTGCTTCCATTTCTCCCCTCTCTTTTTCTTGCTCTCACCTGTGAAAAAGCCCTGATTAACAGCCCAGATCTGTGACCTTAATTTGCACCCTGTCTCCACAGAGTAACATGTTTCTTTCATCCCCGAGAGCTTTCAGGAAAGTGCAGCGGGGTCTGGTTGGTCTGTCACTCATTCTCTGTCATTCAGCCGCCGTTGCTTCCTCGGTTATACTGAATAAAAATAGCAAATTGTCCCTGCTGTCACTGAAATTGATATATTGACGAACACTGGGCTTGAGGACATGGGGAGGTTGCGTAGTGCGTGAACTATGGAGTGGAAAGAGCGGCGTTGGTAATTGGTCCGCTGCGTGATTGCCTGTTTGTGTTGACTTAGAAGAAATTAGTTTCCATGAACATCTCAGTTCATTCAGAGGTGTTCTCTCTGATACTCTGGGCAATTCTTCAATGACTCTTTTGATTTTTTGATTTATTTATTTTCTTTGTTGGTTGTTTGATCTTGGTTTAGGTCATCAATTGCTGTACAGTCAGAACCCAACTTTTATAATAGATATTAAGGTTTCATATTTTTTTTTAAATTGTATGGTCCCTCATAGAAGGAGATTTCCTGACCCCTGATCCAATAAAAGACACACATTGGCCAGGTGTAGAGAGGTGAGAAAGAAAGCAGGGTTTGAACTTATCTCTCAAGCTCTCCTTTTCACACTTCATACAGACACTTCTGCCACTTTTTTGTGTTTACAAGAGTCCAAGAAATGAATGATTGAAAACCTTTTGAGGAGAATCTGTCTGTAAGTGTGTGCCCCTAACTCTCTTTTTACCAATCCATGATGCCTTGCCTCTTACTGTGATTGCAGGCTTTACGCCCCACCTTGGATTGTTACGTGGTGGAACAACTCTTTGTACCAGGTAGTTAGATCCAAACATACCCCAGCCATTATACCTTCAACTCAAAGCTTAGACTGGCCTACCCAGTGTTCGAGAAGCAGTTCCACAGCCCCTGGCCGTGACTCCAGAGTAGCCGGTTGAAGATGCGGTTAAAAAGCCGGTAGAGGTGGAGACTATCTACGTCCGGCTCCCTCCAGATCCGCTGCAGAGCTGAGCGTACATTGGTTCGTACAATATCCAACACCTGTGTGACAGAGCAAGTGAGGGAGATGGTGAGAAAAAAAAGAGAGCGTGACAAAGATAAGATTTAAATCAAGCATGTGATAATGAAGGAAATTAATGCTGCAAGACAAAAGGTGACAGCGCTTCTAATTAATATGCGTGAGTTGGCATTTGTTCCAACAGTAAGATTTTTCTCTTTTTTTTTTACTCTTGCCATAAAATTAGCAATCGCAGAGGCTAATGCATTCACTTAGTAACAGAGGGCTTACATTCATGAATAAACAGAGAGATGCATGCACACATACAAGAACACCCACACATAGGGTGTTTGCACAAACACACCCTGAAGAATTTAATCAGACCTTACACACATACAGTGTATTATACATTTGAGCAGGTTTATCTCAATGCATTCACGTTAAAGCATGCACAGACATACAGCCTATGTGTAGTTTGTGTGTGTGGCAGGACAAAAAGCGTTGGGGCAGACAGTGGTGAGCATGGGAGGAGGACTAATTGCTGCACCGACGTCAGTCTTGGAGAGAAGGTGTCAGAAGTTCCCAGGCGGTCTGAGGACACCTGCACCAGCCTTCCATCTTCCCTTCTTTGTTTTCCCATTCCTCCACACCTCACTGCCTTCTCTTCCTCCCTTTTTCTCTCTTTTCACCCCACTCAGAGTGCAGCGCTGTGGCCCTTTTGACTTTGATTCCTCGCTCCTCATTACTGACGTGCCTCTCTGGCTGTGTGTATGTGTGTGCATGTGTGTTTGCGATGCGAAGAGAGGCAAGATTTCCCTGCAGCAATGTGAGGCGAGCGAAATGCGCATACACACTCAGACAAACTGATAGATGAGTAAACACACACACAGATATGTTTTGGTATGGTAATCAGATGGCAGAGCGGTGGGCGCTACATTCCTGACCTCTGCCTGCTGCTCATTAGGCTGCTCCACTCCAAATAAAACATCGGCTCGCACCACCACAGCCCACAACACAGCCGAGCACAGTTGTACAGAAAGCGGCAGCTGAGAGATCACATCATTACTGACACGCCTACTGGATGCCATTTCACGTCTTGTCCCCTCTTCTGTTTTGTTTACATCCTATTTGGTGTCTCTACCTCTCACTATCTGACATGATAATGATCTTCATGCTTGTCTTATTTTTGTATTTTTTCTCTCTTGATGTTTGATTTGAGGATTATTTTTGTGTTTTAAAAGTTGTTCAAAAGCATTCGGGGGAAGAGGTAGCAGCTGTGACATTTTGTTGTATTCACTGGCTTTGACAACGTCTATTCTATACAGGCTGACCCTATAGACTGTGTGGCAGCAAGTGCAAAGGCAGGCAATTTTTATACAGATGTGGCCCATTAAGCACGGTCTCTGGCAATAGTGTCTGAGAACTTCACTGTGAATAATTGTTATCAAGCTAATCAAGTGTTAATAACCAGACAAAACACAGATATCTGCCAGATCTTTCCAACTTATTTGAACAGTTCTCTGCCGTTCAAGGCCACAATTCCACCAACCTTTCCCCTCCAGCTATCCTTCAGACCAATTGGCTGCAACTTTTACATTTCCTATGTGAGTCCCTTTAATTTTTCCTCTTCTTTATTGAACTGTCTATGTTCTGGTTAACATTTAGGAGGAAGCAGTGACTACTTATCTAGATTCTTCCAAATATCAAAGAGGTTTGAAATAATCGGGTGTCCCTAAACATATCTCTCAGGACTTTTACACAGATATTCTGCTGGACATCCGTAGCTACCGAAGACTTGGAGCCAAACAGTTGTGCATGAATTTGCTCAGATATTTTGTGATCTGATTCCATCATAAGACTCACCTTCCGTTGTTTGGTAGAGTCCAGCTTCACTAGCCAATAGGATGCCACCTTTGATTTATGGTATTTCCAGTTGTCGAGGATCTGTGGAAGAAATGTTGGTTTAAAAAGTGAAAAATAATCTTTTGAACATGCACAAAACTTCCTTACTCCTTATTCCTTACAAAGAGGAATTGCAATCAAGTTAAATATTTAAAAACACACTCAAAGCATTTAAAAGGTATCATTTTGACCAAAAGAACACTGCAAGTCTACTCGACTTAAGGCTGCTCAATTAATCGAAATTTGATCATGATTACGATTTTGGGGCCGAACGATCTCAAAACTAATAAAATCAGGGGAAAACTATTTTCTTTTCATTTTCTGTTATGCAATGTTGTATAGAAAAAAGCTCCATTCAGGGATGCAGCCCCTGAATTGGGACATAGCCACAGTCTGCGTATTTCCGTCCCTCCCCCACAGCATGCACTGCACATGAATCAGTCACGTTGTTTTCGTTGGAACAGGAACGCATAACAGTAACAGGTATTTCAAATGTTGTGGCAGTGCACTAAAATTTGAGAACACAAATTGTTTTTCTATGGCTTATCTTTTGTGTGTTATTTTATTTAATTTAACTTTTTGTAGAGCTTGCAAGAGTGCACTATGACTGTCAATGTAAAAAGGAGACTTACAAATGTTTATGGAAAGTGTAACTGAGGACTTCCTTGCAAAGTGTTTTTGACAAATGTCCAATAAATACGCATGTTTCTGAAGTTAAAAAAAATAATCGTTTGAATAATCGTGATTTCAATTTTGACCAAAATAATCGTGATTATGATTTTTTCCATAATCAAGCAGCCCTAACTCGACTGCTATTTTATTACATCAGCTGTTTCTCAGCAATCCTCTGTCAAAATCCAGGGTTACTACAGTATTACAGGCCGGTCATTGTGCTGTGCAGTTCAATTGTTGCCAAAAACAATACAATCAACAGATAAATAAATCAAGCACATACACATTTTAAACTTTAGGATAGGCCTTGGTCAAAGGTAAAGAATTTTCCTGTCCCGATCATGTCAGACATAGACGAAGAACATACGGATGAAGTCTAGAGCTAATTCCCACCATCGAAAACTCATTCTTTCTCTCACACTTCAGCCCAGACATGGAATCTGTAACTTTGCTGGTTCATGTATCTGTTAATGTAATGGGTTTTTGGCTTCCACACATACGTCTCCATTGTGGAAAAGTTTCATGTTTGAACATAACAAAACCATTAGGAATAGAGCTGCACGCTTGTGCAATGTTTGGCATCTGGCACATGATACCAGGCAACACTGCGGCACATCACTACACTGGTTATTTTGTCTTCATCGTGTAGGGAAAGTAGTTCTGCGGTTTTGGCATCAGACTACTTAACTAGAATCAGACTATAATTTCCAGTCATTTTCACATAACTACTGCAGGTTAGATCTAACAAAAGTCTCTTGTCGGAGTCAAATGACAATGATATCCATGATCAAAGCAGAGAACTAAAGCATCAGTTTCTCATGACTGGTTTAGACGTTTTGTGTACTTTCACTGAAACATGACTACTTGCATTGACATTTGAGCCATGTTAAACCAGTAAAATTAGCTCTTAGTACAAGGACTGACAAGGTGACATGATGTCATTTTCATCAACATGTAACATGGCGAGCATTTACAGAATACAGTGCTTATCTGCCACAAACTTTTGTGTGGTATCTTTTCGTAGGTGGATTTAAATGCAGCACAACTCAGGGATAACAGAAAAACCGGGTTGTGATCTTTGGTTATTTATCAGACAGTCCCTGTGTTTTGCAAGTGTGTCAAAAACCCTTGGGGCATGTGTCGTTATGCTCAGAAGCTATGCTGGATATTCCCATGCACTTGCTCCTAGTGCCAACATCACTGTGTACCTACAGGCACTGTTATTGTTGCTCTGTTGACTTAGTCTACATCTCCCCACTGGTGCACATAAATCTCTCACGTAGCATGCTAGATCCCCTGCAAACAGTACTCCCATTGGGAAGCTCCAGTGTAAACTTTATGTTTACTCACTCACACACGCACGCACAAAAAAACAATCCACAAGGATTCACAGATACAGAGCTATGGTATACAATGAACACTTTCATTCGCTTTCCAGAAAGTTACATGTTTGCTTGTTTAGTATTCTCTCTCAATAAGAACCTTATGAACCTTGTGTCATAAGATGCACGCTCATTTGTCACATTTGTTTCATACATACGCAGATTACCCTCAATTAAAGCACAAAACACACTCGATGTGTTTCACCTTTCAATGGTTCCAACTGCGACAAAAAAACAGGTTTTGAGTGAAAGATAAAGGAGGCAATTACTCGGATACAAACACATCATTAGCCCAATTAGACCTCAACTTTAAATCATGAGAAACATAAATTGCCAAAGATTGTTTTCATGCCAAGTGAACACTCCTTCTCTCCCGAGGCAAAGAGTGAACAGTACAGGTGCAGTTGCTCATCTGCGTTTCCATGGTGCTCTCATTAGGGTTTGTTAACAGTACAGGTGTGGTGGTAATTGTCTCTCACGACCCCGACACACCCAGATGTCACACACACACATAAACTGTTTTTGCTGTTGTGAGGGTGTTGTATGGGCTTACACTAATTACTTGGTGGCTTGCCCTAACTTAACCTTAATCATAACAGCTACAATCTGTAGCCTAACCCTTACATAAGAAATCTTAATAATAATAAAATCAATACTAAGGATCTTATGTGTGTTACAACACATGTGATTCAGGTTGATTTAAAAACCAAGTATTTCCTACAAAAAACCTGTCTTGTGTATAATAACGTGGTTTTGCTGGTATTTTCTTGACATCAGTCACCTTAGTGAAGACAGTCTGGCTGGATGGATGTCCTTTCAGCACCGTGGGAGCTGTGGAGCTAAACAGACAGCTGGTACCGAGGACAGTGGCGGCCATAACGGAGGTCAGAGTAGGTTTGGATTGGATGGATGGACGCTTTCATAGTGCTTTTGTGCCGCTGATGTGTGGCTTCTGGTGTGAATTGAAGGTGAGCCTCTGCCTGACTTTGGGCTTTTTCATGTTGCTAAAAAAAAAAAAAAATGCAATATCCATTTTAGCTTTTTCTGTTGTATTTTTTTTTATTATCCCATAAACTAAATAAAGACTTTTGGAGAATGTATTAAACATAAATTGCTCTGTTTCTATATGGCCCGTAATACAGTAACACATGGTTGTGATTGCTTGAAGTCGTTGCTATAGTTGCTAATAGTAGCTAGTTAAATAGGAACTGCACACTTAAATGTACGTATGCTGTAAACTAAATGAAAACTACATGACTGTACTGTGTTCTTAACAAAGCTATGAAAATTGGGATTTTATGGCTTGACAATGTCTCAACGCAGCATCTTCTCTTTTAAATCACCCCAATCCTTGAAAGGCCAAATGCTCACATAATCTGCAAAACCACTGCGTTCATTTTAAAATGTATGCTCTTTATGCTAACTATCTACTTTTGGCTTTTGACGGCTGTAGAAGCACCACCAGACTTGATCCCACGCACTGACACTCCCCCCAGACACATGGCTGGTGAGCTTTAACTGTAAACTCGCTATTCCTGCTCTCTCACTCACTCACTGACTCACTCTGGTTGGTGTTGAGGCCATGCTCCCTTCAGTGGCTGTCCTTTGCTGTCCTCTGCTGCAATTTCTTTTATTATTTGCTGAGAGGGAAGAGGCTGGACGAATGTAGGGGTGCAGTTACACTTTAGCCATTGTTGAATTGAAAAAATAAACTTTATTTACATCCATGGACTCAACGATGTTACTGTCAGCCACATGAGCCAATTCTCCTTTAAGCAATAGCTTAAGCAATAGAACAAACACAAGTACACACACCAAAATGCAAGAAGACCTGACCAGAAATAGAGGAGGCACTGATTAATACAAAGGAGCAGTGGGGAATAGCGCAGGGCTGCAAACTGACCGACAGGTTGTCACAGGGGTCATTTGAAAGACAATGGGAGCCAAGCCAGAGTGGACCGGCTATTGTGGAGGGAGGCGAGGAGGTCTCTTTTAGTTAGGCTGCAGAGCAACCGCACCTGGCCACAGAGGGGGCTCTGGGAATACAACGGGTCCAGATTTCTGTTCAGCACTTGTACGTCAGGTTCACTCTCCTTCTTTTCCTTGTTTATTTCAGTCTTTTTCTTGTGTTACATTGTCACATTTTTACACTGTTTCTGAATTATTTTGACACACACAAAAGTCCGCTTTGGATTATTGTATAAAGTATAGTACACAAAAACAATAGAAATAGTGCACCCACCTCATCCAGCACAGCCTCGGCCTCTTCCTCGGTTTTGCCCGGAAACCTGATCCTCATGGCGGTGAGCGCGGCCAGAGTTTGACGCACCAGCTCAGCCTCTTGCTCTTTACTCCTTAGGTTTATCAGCGGATCACCCTACGTGCACACACACACACACACACACACACACACACACACACACACACACACACACACACACACACACACACACACACACACACACGTGCGTAGAAAGAAACCAACTGAGTACACAGATGCATATTAATATTATGCAAAAGATCTTGTTCAACACTAAAGTATCATTTAACACCTGTATCAGAACCAAACAGCTGTGTTCAATACGTACAGCTATATAAATCTGGTTAAAGACCACAAGAGTCTGATTTAGTTGTCAGGACATCTCAGGTTTGGAGAAAAGTATACTAAGTTGATGTAATTATATAAAGACATGCAATTAGTGATTATATTCAATACTAATTACCTATCAATTCCTGGTATTTTCCCCTGCCAATACAGGCAAATTGACTTTTTTTTTTCAATCCTAATTTATGTAAGGAGCTCCTCCAAAGCACCTCAGCACAAAAGAATATAGTGCTGCATTCACATGAGTGTTGATTAACAATACGAGTAGGGTGTAATGTTTTATGATTGTACTATGTATATTAGTCATTATTATTTCAAAATATTGTGGCCACTTTCACGGGTATTTAAGTGCTCAATAATGTATGATCCTCCTTCCACCTCTTATAGCCACAGATCATTATTTTCTTTATGTAGCAGATAGCACAGTAACATGCTTTGAATAAAAACAACCTCCTTAAAATAACATTATTATTGCTACAGAAATGTACTCACTGGTGTACCTACACAGCGTGTACTTACCTGCATATGTATGATATGCACAGGGAAGTGTGCAAGAAGATGAAAAATATTTAATGACATAAATAAATAAATAAAAAACAAGAAAAGAAATTCTCCTGTCATTTTGTATACATGTGTGCCAGGATACAAGCAGATAACCGGTGCACTCTAGGGCCTTTTTTACAGTACAAAAGCTTTCCACTCAATTCTCAATCTTAAAAAGTATTCTGCCAGATTTCACTTTGTTCCACTGTAACCAAAGGTTACCAGCATACTTGTAAAGAAAGAAGGGGAATGGAGGAGGCAGGCAGAAAGCAACAGATGGCAACATAATAGAAGATCATTGTGGTGGGCTACAGTAGGCCTATACAGTATTGAAGGAGCTGCTTTAGTGAGCCTGGATACAATATGTGCCACAAGAAGAAAAAAGCAAAGGGGAAAGGTGATGGCAGCAACGGTAAATTTGTGCATTTGCTGACTGGAAAGTAATTCTTGATGTTTACCTTAAATCTAGTTAGAGTAGTGGATCAGCTGAGGATTGCCATGTTGAGCAATATGACAGCTTGACTATTGAAAATTAATTTGGCATACTGTGTCTGTCTCTGTGACTGACAACTTATCTGACACACCCTGAATGGTAAAGAGGTAAAACCCTATTTTGTTTGTGTGAATTTCTTACTATGTGGGAGTGGATGGTCCCCAGGCTGTTGCTGTGAGGAACGCGGTGGGCGGAGCCACTGCGACTCAGTGAGTGAGAGCGCAGCGTGGCAGAGCTCGGCCTGATGAGGGGAGTGGCCACAGGGACTGTAGAAGAAGGCCTGGCAGACAATGCCCGCACCTCACTGGGTGATGAGAGGGAGGCAATTGAACGAGGGCAGGAGATGGAGCGCCTGATTGGACCAGAAAGTGTCGGGGAAGCAGAGGGGGCGGGGCTGGTTTTGAGCGACTTGATTGGAGGTTTCCAGTGCATGCGACCTGTGGAGAAACAGAAGAAAGGGAGGAGGGAGGAGGAACACTGACTCATTGTCACACTTCAATTTCTTTTCTTCCCTGATCCTGTCTCAGTGCCCCAGTCACTGTCAAGCTCTCCTCTCTGCTTTCCATCCGTTGCCAGGTGGCTTTGGAGATGAAATGTGGCATTAAAACTCCCATTGCCACACACTCTGGCACAGTGGCACAGTGTGTGTATGTTATTAACGGCCGCAGCATGTGTAGTCAAAACCAGAAACTAAATAGTAGTGCTGTCTGGTTTGGGGATGGATTAAAGAGCAGTTCTTTCTCTCTGTCACACACACACACACACACACACACACACACACACACACACACACACACATACAGACACAGATACACACAAGCGCTATAAAAACACACACAAATACACAGAAAATGAAGCTGAAAACCCACACTGACACTCTCCATCACCCTTGACTCTGCTCCAGCTTGTCTACCAGCCAGTGTATTAGTGTGTTTTCTATTTGTGCAGTGTGTGTGTGTGTCTGTGTCTGACATCGAGTGTGCCCACAAGCGATTATATGTGTCAGTCTTTCTGTGTGTGTTTGTGTGCGTGCGTTCGTGTGGTTGCTGAACCTTACGAGGTTTGGCCATTGCCAAATGAGAGCATTATGGGGCTTAGTCCTAGCAGCTCTTTGGTGGCTTGGTATGGAGTAGGGCTTGGCAGGGCTGCTGTCTCTGTCTGCACACACGCATACACACAGAGTCCAAAAGTTGGGCTTTTTCATGGGTTTGTCCCTTATTTTGTGACAAATAGAATGAGCTCATGCAAGGGTCCTCTCTATTGAGCAGTAAAACCGGTGGCCCACAATGCAACTGTAGAAATTTTCCTTTCCAAGGTCGGCAGCTGTGAAAGTTGCCCTCTTTCTCACTTCAGAGAGCTGAAAGTGAGTGGATGTATGTAACTTATGCGAATTTGTGAGAATGCTTGAGTCTTATCACTCTCACTATAAAACACAGAATATTTCAGCATTAAACTCAAGGTGTCTTCAAGGTAAACGGTGAAAGAGGTCTTTTTTCCCTTTTTCTTTGAATCAAATTTCTTCTTCTCTTCACCTTCCATTCACTGTTACTGTACTGTTCAGGACACTTTTATTTCCTCAAGTGCTTTTCATTCCTTGGGCATCGGTGTGTGTGTGTGTGTGTGTGTGTGTGTGTGTGTGTGTGTGTGTGTGTGTGTGTGTGTGTGTGTGTGTGTGTGTCCGGTTAGTATATGTAGCTAGGACACTCCTTTACTTAGGAACTTAAGACACATCCCACGGGTCACAGGCTATGATCACCCCGCTTATACTTTAATTAAAATCCAAGGATCTGCTACCATTTCATCACATCAATTAAGCACATAAATACTGGGGGGCAGATGAACATCTGTAATGTAGCCCCTGCTGACTCAAACCATTACAATCTGCCCCACGCTGCTGCCGCAGAGTATGTATGTGCATGCACTGAAGGTACTGATCAAAGCAAAACTCTCAGCATTTGTATTTTAAAAAGTGTGTGTGCATGTGCATGTATATGGTAATGTGTTCTGTACAACTATGAATATTTTTCAAACTGTATAAATGTGTAAAAGTGTATGTCATTTCCTTGGAGCATCAGAGGATCAATTCCAATTTCCTCATTGCATCATTATATACGTTCACACTTTCTATGTCTCCTGTCAAACAGAAATATTTAAAGTGTGTAGGTGTCTGTGTACATTTGCACATCTGGAAACTTGTTTTCAGTAAATGACTGCTGTTAACTGATGTAATCTGATGGAAGGTTTAAGCTATAAATGAAATAAACCCAAAAAACAGGGCAGGAGGAAGAGAGACCAATCAAAATAAGGAGAAAGTAAGGCAGCAAAAAAAAAGTAAACAAGAGAGCAAAAAAGAAAGAAAGAGTGCAGGTCCCTGTCAAACCCCCACGCTCTCGCTTCCTAATAAAGACATTCTTAGATACTTTTATACATCCTGCCACTTTACCTGAGCGCTCGGCCAAGTTCTTCTCCTTGCTATCCCCAAGGTCGTAGGAAACTTTCTTCTCCCTCTTCTCTCCGCCTCTTCCTCCTCCACCTCCTGACTTCCTCCTCTCCTCCTCTTCTTCATCTGAGGAAGAGCAGGAGTTATCGGCGCTGCTGCCACTGGTGAAGTCAGCCAGGTAGTCAGGTCGTTGACGTCTTGGTGTCTGACTGCATTCTGGCATGGCGGTCAAGGGCTAGCGGGGACAAACACAGATACACATATAAGAGCGTATAAGAGTGTGCACACATTGGTGCGTATAGTAGCCAGATCTATATATATATATATATATATATATATATATATATACACAGACGAAACAGATAAGATAATACACAAGTGCTCTTGTTGTTCCTTGTACACACACATAAACGCCCTTCTGCTGTTATCCTCATGGGACCCTCCACCCACTGTCTTTGCTTACCTAACCCTAAACCGTCCAAAATTACCTCATTTTGGAAAAATGTCCTCCTTCCAAAGGTCTAAAACTCAAACAGCCTCTCACAAGGACATAAGTACACACAAACACTTATACATCAAGACATTGAGATGTTGTCAACCTCCCTCAGCCTCTCCTCACCCTCAGCCTATTACCATCTGTCACTGGGAGACCTGGTGGTGACACGCTAGCCCACGTGCCCACGTGTGTATGTTTGCCTGCAGGCTCATTATGCAAAGATACACAATTAAATATGCACTCCTTTATAAGCCTGGCTGTTACTATGAATAGGAACATGAGTGGCTTAATACCTCGAACAAATTTGACCTGATTGGATATGCAAAGGTTAAATTCAAAGTATAATCATTTCTTTTGATATTAAATGATTTCCATATCTGACGGCCTTTGTAAATGATACTGCTCTTGTAATGTTCCCTCTTTGACACAAACCTGCTGTTGTATTTGTACTTGTAAGACATAAAGGAAAAGACTTATGTCATGCAAGTGCAACTGTGATACTTGAATTCTGTACCCTGAGTGGAACACAACAATGAACGTAGGAGTTCATTAAGCTGAGTGTCTATTTCACATCCTGTAAGGGGACATGCTGATGACATTAATAAAGCATTTATACATTTGTTATTCAACGGTTAGCTGGGACAGTGCTGTCAGGCCACCCAAATTAATGGGCAGGAAGTGATCACAGGGCTTACACAGTCACCGCTGGCTAGCTGTGTGGGTGACTGATAGAGGAGGGTGGAGACAAAGAGAGATTAAATACATGAGAGGAAAATAAAAGTGAAGATGGGAACATCAGATTGATGGGTAGAGAAATAAAGAGGAGGACAAGGTGAATCTTGAGCATGGGAGCGGAGAGAAACAGAGAGGAGGCACTGAATAGACGGGGAGAACGGAAATGAACGCAGATAGAGGACACTGAACATACGAGTGGAGAGAGAAAAGGAGACAGGAACAGACAGTGGATAAACAGTGCAGAGCAAGGCAAAGAGAGAAGGCCAGACACTGAACAGATGAGGAGAGGGAAAAAGAACGAAAAAAAAACCCCAGTGTGACGCGTGTGAAGACGAAGTGAGAGTGATTGGGTAAAATCAAGCTAAACCGTGAGCTGAAGAAGGCCAACACAACAACAAATGTGATAAGGTGTATTTTTTGGACACATTTAGAATGGCAGGAGTCAAAACAACAGAGAAAGACAATAATAAAAAAACTAAATGAGAGGAAAAAGAAAACCTGAACGCACTTGCTAGCTCTCTTTCCTCTCGCCATTTCACTTCCTGCCTGCCTTCCTTGCTTTCCATCTCTCGCCCCCACCATCGAAACATTTCCTTAGTGATAACAAACCGTAGCGGCCCGTCCTTCCCTCAAAATCCTGTCTCTAATCCCTTCGCCTCACTCCTCTCTTCTAGCTTTCGCACACTCGTTGGTTCAGTTTCACCAGATGGCTTGTGAGCACTACACCCCGAGGAGTGAATCTATCCGTCACAGCTATTTCTTTCCCCTGCTTCAATGTCTCTCCCTGCACACTCAGCAACATCGAAACTGACGGGGTCCAAATTAATTTGGACAACAGTGATTGTGTCTGAACAAGTCCTCATTCCAGCTAAGGCCCCTCTAATGTAGTGCTGAACTGCCCTGTCGAGTCCCTAACATACTCTTTGAGTGTTCCAGCCAATTTAGCCCTCGAGTGAGGGATGGATGTAGATGTGCAGGGAGAGAAAAGGGATGGAGAGGTGAAGGGAGGGGAGTGAGGCAAGGTGATGGAGGGAGTAATGTGCTGTCGTGGGAAATCGAGGGGGCGTATAGGTGTATGTGACAGAGAGAGAGAGAGAAAGAGAGGGAGATAGACAGAAAGAAAGATAGCACGGAGAGAGCGAGAGAGACAGCCTGACAGCTGTCCCCTAGGGGAGTTGGGTCTTTTCTTTGGGCCTCTTTCTGATTCTTTTCTTTCTCGCCTAACCCGCCACCCCCCTCTTTATTTTTCTGAATCACATCCTATGTGCTTTCTGTGGGCGTTAGCTCCAGGCATCTGCACCTACCTGCCTCCCCCTCCCTCCCTCCCCTCCCTCCCTCTTTCTCTCTCTCTGACACTCTTCTTTGCACTTTTTCTTAGGTCCCTTGAGACGTGTGGCCCTTATTCTTCCTCCTCTCTCTTGGTTTGTGCGTCTCCCTACCTTTCTCTCACTCTCACCCACCTTAGGGCCTCGTTGCCTGGAGGATTTGCCCATAAGCTTCTCATCGTCCAGTTCACATTGCTCCAGCAGATCCAAGATGTCTTCCTCCTAAACAACATGTACCAAAAACACAAGGTAGATGAGAATATGCCAAACGTGATGATTTTTGTTACACAAAGAGCACACAGTATAAAGCATCAGCAAAGACTAACAGCGTAGTTAAATCTTGATGATACACTGATAAGAAATAATAAAAATTCTTTGATGTTTCATATCCCTAATTACTTTGATGTCAAAATAGGGTAAGAGAAAATAAAAAGTTTGACTTCACAGGCATATGTGCCTTATCTGGAGGTTAGAAAAAAAGGCCCTGGCTGAACATAGCATTACTATTTGGCAGTGGTTATAGAGGCTGGATTTGGAAAAGGCAGCGTCACGGCCATCGCCAAAATGCTGGGGTCTTGGCCATTTGGCCGTAGCTGAAATGCAGGCAAAGGTGATTAATGTTCCTTCACTTCTGGGACATAAAAAGCTCCCACTTGCCGCTCAAATACAGATGAAAAGTGATTGTTTTCTCTCAGATTAGCAGGTCACTGTGCCCCTACAGTAGCGCTCTGTGTTGGTGTGCGTGCTCAAGAACATTTGTGTGAGTGTACAGTGGCATATTTCCATGTCTGAAAGTCTTTGTTTTTCCTTCTTAAAGTACAACGTTTCTGTTGTGTGCCTCTTTTTAGTTTATATATACCTCACTGGCATTTATGAGTGTAATGGTGGGAACATGTCAGCCTGAACAGTGTTGGGATAAATAACTTGTACTTCTCCATCAAGACCTCCATATTTTGAGATCATCACTAAGAAATAAAGAAAACCAAAACATTACAAGGAGAGTTTGAACTAGTTATGAGTTAGTTGGGTGTATCAATTCAAAACTCACATTATATATATGGACATTAAAGTTTAATAGTTGCAGTATTAAGTAATGCAGACTATGTATAATTATTATGCCAGCTATCTACTGCAGTATTTGTCCCTAAGATTGCAGTTGCTAATAACTCGAGTAACCCAGTAAAAAATACCACATTGTGCACAACCATTCATTGAGCTGGGATAGGATGCAGTAACATATTATGTACTAAGTGGATTGTGTTAGTGGTCCTGAGGAGCTAAGAACCACAATTTTATGTTTATTTAACTAGAATGGTAAGATAACAGTACTTTGCTTTGAAGAAGTTATTTAGACATTAGAGGCATTTTTACTCCAGTAAAAGTCTGCCAACTCAATAACCTTTCACAGGGAGAAAGCATTCCCACCCACAGTGGTGTAAAAACCACTGGAGGCCAATTACCTTGTTAAATTGCACCAAAGAAGATTACATGGATGTTTTGACATGTTTTACAGCATGGGAGAAAACCAAACTTGACACATATATAGAAACTGCAGATGAAGTGTTTAGAACACAGGGAGTCTAAATCAAGTGATGCAGCTCCATAGATTGGAGAGCGCTCTTCTTTAGTAATCATTGGCTGCACTGTCACTAAGTAAAGTTAAACACTTTATACCCACTGTGTATGTCAGCCCGCATAATATGTAGCTGCTTGCTACATTACCTTTCTATCGAGAACATTATCTGTACATGTCAGCTCATATTGTCCAAACCCAAGTACTTTTTTGGCACCAGAGGACTGAGTGTGTAGTCCTGTCCAGAGCAAGCTTCTCTTGTATTTTCATCCATTTTTGTTGAAAAAGCAGTCATTTTTTTCCTTTTGCTGGCAGCTTCTACTGTGCCCTTCTTTGACTCCATATTTCTTGGCTGTTTGACAGATGACCCTGTCTCATCCATTTCTGTGGTAATGTAGTCAGAAGTCACTTTCCACTGGTTAGGAATTTATTTCCTCCATGGTAGAAAAAACACATACCCCTGAGCCAGCAGAAAACTTCTGTGGGTAAAACTGGGCTTATTCCTTTAGACAAATAAAACCTGGTCAGGACCCTCCTCATTTCTTCTTCAAAGCAAAAATAATCTTGGTTGAGAGAGGATAGACAATGACACTTCCACTGTTCAGCAGAAAACAAGTTCATTTTTTTAGATACATAACAAAACAACAGCTGGAGGAAATGCAGTTCCGACACTCATTGCTTTGGCTGCCTGTAGATGGTGCACATCTGTACACCTCCAATTCTTAACAGTTGCTGCTGTTACTTATTTGCCTATAGGTGGGGATGGTTGGACTGGAACTGCAGGTTCAAATACAGAGATGTGCTCAGCTCTGCAGCTGGATGATACTGTCTGTTCCTGGTTTCAGGCACTTTGCACTTGTCCTCACCAAGAGTTAACTACCCTGTTAACTACCTCTGTAGTGAACGGTGTCGTCTTACAGCAAGAAACATAACTTATTGATTCATAAAAAAAATAGAATCCAGCAGAAAATCCATTTAAAACTATATATTCTTTTTAAACCAGACTACTCTGACTTGACTAAAAAGTGTGGGTGTTTTAGGTGAAAAACAAATTACAGCTCTTTCAGATTCTAAATATCACTCTGCTTAATGTACATTTGCAGTGCTTACAGACCGAGCAACAACACTTCCAGTTAGTGTACTTGTACTTGTGCTGTATTGATGTGCTGATCCAATACTCAGGATCGGTATTGGTCCAATGCTGGCCAAAATACGTGGATCGGATATCGATAACTTGAGCGCTATGCTGTATCTCTTTACGGCATGTCGATAAGCAGAATGTGTCACATGAGCGGTAGCTAGAACGTGAGTGAGACCTGTCAGCAGCGCTGTCAACATACCAGCTGTGTGGAGTTATCTCTCTCAAGGAAGTAAAAAAATCAAACAGATGAGTGAAATGTAAGCATTTATGCAATGTATGTAATTTTTGTTTTAATGGTGTTGACCAATCAAAAATGCTGCTAAAAGTTCCTACTAAAAAGTCTAAATAAGAAGCAGCAGTATTGAATAACTGAGTCATGCTGTGTATTTCTTTCTTCATCGGAGTAGAATATTTGTTTCACAGTTTAAGCGTATGTTAAGACAAGTGCATCCATACAGATGAATTAGGATTTGTATCTGTATCGGCAGATACTGAGGGTTCTGGCATTGGTATTGGACATGAAAATGTGGAATCGAGCCGCCCCTACTATTTTATTATATTGGCAGAGCACTACAGGCCAGCTGAGCATGCATCTGCTCGACAACATTTTTTTTATTTTCAGTATTCATGTGAGAAAAATGGAGGAATGGGAAAACATCAGCTTAGCGGGCGGGAAAACATAGATCGCTAACATCAGAAGTAACAATTTGATGCATACCTGTCAACCTAACTGTAATGGAAGTGGGGAGAAGGGTGATGCAAACCTCGTAGAAACCAGTGTAACCCGTGGCTGCCTTGTCTGTAGCACAGCAATGAAGCCTAGAATGGTGCTCTGCAGCGCATCAGGATGTTATCACTAGGATTACAACCCAAGTTTTGTTTTGTTTTTGATAGTGTGACAATCTATGAGATTTTTCAATTCATGGCCCTGAGAAGCCCTGAAAGGCAGCAAACATGCTTGCTGCTGGTACAATGTCTGTCAGACCTGACAGATGTTAATGGCACTCTGGCCCCTTGTAACAAGAAAAACAGGCAATGCACATCAGATGATGCATTCTGGATCTGAAAGCACTGTGACTGGTGTAGTAAATTATAGGCTTGGATAAGATAATTAATTGGTACTTGAACAGGCAACCACAGCACTCAAACTAATTCCACTGTTTAAATACAGTTATCTGTCCCTCTAGGAAGTTGCAACAATTAACGCAAATTCAACCAATCCCTGTGAATTCTGCGGAGCGTTGCAACAATGAATATGATCACAGCAACAATGAATATGACCAATCATTGTAGTTTCCTATACAAAACGTTGAGCCATATGCCTTATTTCTAGTTGGGAGGAAGCAGGCCATGCAGACGTGTGATGTTCCCTGTCTAAACAGTGCAGCTGCCTTCAATATTTAATGAATTATACAATAATTATCATGATAATGATAATCTAACAATTTTTGACATTTTCACTTTCTCCTGCGATTTTATTGCATAAATAAAACCATCGCAATTTGTTTTAAAAAGCTGCTTTGAAATCAAGCATTTTAGACTGCAACAATCCCCCCAAAAAGCCCACGAAATCCCGGATGGACTGAGTCATAGTGCAAACCATGCAGGCTATAAATTAGGTAAACTCGTCACTATGGTAAGTCATGCACAATGACTAAGCAAAAGCAAAGCTCAGGAGCACAAATAAAGCCATCTGAAGTGAGGAAAAGTAACTTAAATCATGTTTTTATGGGTTTGAAAATGCACATAGCCTAATGTAGCCTAATGTTAAAAAAAATGTGAGGAAAAATATTTTAATTAATGAATTATTTGTTGTCTGTGGAATATTATATTCAACTTCATCTGTTCAAGATCCTTTCTTTACTATAAATTGCCAAGATTAATATCTTACACTGTCCCTTTGTCCAGTTGTCACTCATGATCATGTTAGATAGCTAACTCTAGAGCATCCTTTATTCTTGTTATCTCTCTCCCTTCCGACTTAGAAAGAGAGCCACATCTCTGTGGGTTGACTAAATTAAACTTACCTCTGCCTGGTGTTTCGACTCTGCCTAATCTTTGATTGACATCTCTATAAAAATTCTCAGCAGTGAATCCACTCTTGAAAGGACACACACTAACTTTCTGAAAAACAAACTGCGAAAGGGTAGAGGCTGTTGAGGTAGGTTTGTTTCTACAAAAGCTGCAATAGTTGCATATGGCATCTCCTCCCAGTGCTTTGATATGAATTTGGAATGTCAATACTACTGTCAAAAACATCCATATTCAGTATTCACTTTTACTATTCAGTTGCAAAAGCAGTTCAGTTTTTTTTTTTTATTTGTTTCATCTGTTTGCTACTCATAAATGATTCTTCCCTCCATGCATGTTAATATCCCACAATGTCTTTCTCTATCTTTTTGTTTCATTGATTTGTTGTTTGAAAATTGCCCTTTTCTGTTGCTTTGTACTCTACTCATCCTAATGCATAGTGTGTGTTCATAATAGAAATCTGTCAAAATACTTATAAAAGTATTTTACCAAAAACAAATGAGACAAAACAACCATCTCTATCAGCGTCTTTTTCCTTTATGACTATTTTTCTCATCCTTCCCTCATTACCATTTAAATACTTCACATTCCTCTCTATTCTCCGCTCTTTCTTCCAGTAAAGTTGCGTGGTATGGAAATAAAATTCTTTGCGAAGTCTCTTCATACCTTTACCTTTAGCTGAAGCTATATCCCTTCTTGTACCAGAGTGGCCTTGGCATTTATATGCATACAATGACTTCTACCCCTGTTCAAACAAGCACGCACAAGTTTGTGTGAACATGTGTCCTATATGTGCACGTATATGTTCAAACGTGTGTCCCTGGATCTTTGTTTAAAATAAATAATTACCCTAAGGAACGTGCATTCAAATTTGTGGGCAGCAACTGTGATTAACTTTGAAGCCTCTTCACGACTAACTTTGACAGAAAGAAAAAAATAAAGGAAAAGGAAGATACAGAAAGAGGACAAAGAAAACTGAAGAGCGTCTAAAGAAACAAAAATGACATTGTTGTATGGGATTTGATTTGCTTTTAAAAGCTCATATACACATGGCACAATAAATATTTGTGGAGAGACTGAGTGAATGACAGTGGGAAAGCGAAGCAGATAGAGGAGGAGAAGGACATTCTGTCAGACTTTCTAACAGATATGAAGGACTGCGGCACACTTTCCACATTATTTGCGCATCCTTTTCTGTCTCTGTGGACAGAATCTTAATAGAAATGCATGTGTGTTTCTTTTCTTTGGTATGTGCTTGTCCACAAGTGTCTGCATATTGTGTGTATATGTTTGTGTGTGGGTCTCTGCAGGTTTCTATGATGTGTGTGTGCGTGTGTGCGTGTGTGTGACAGACTGCCACAGACGTACGTGCCTTCATTCGTTTCAGAGGATTATTCATTTCCTTTTGAAGTGAGGCAGCTCGCCCGGCAAGGAAGGTCTGAAAGGCGGCCGAGAGCAGGCTTTCATACTTCTCCAGCAGCAGCTTGTCGTCTGGGGGGTAAATACGTCTGTAGGCCGCAGAGACACAGAGAGAAAAGCAAGAAGAGTGAGGAAGGAGTGGAGAAAAGAGGAAGAAAGAAAAGGCGAAAGAAGGAGGGTCATCAATGCAGGGAGAAAGGGATGAGAACGGAATGAGAAGAAAAGGAGAAAATGGAGTTGGGTTCACAAAAGAGAGGGTGGGGGTGATGGGGTGGAGGAAAAGAAAGTGAAGAGGGGGATTGGGGTCGGCAAAAGAGGGATATGAGGTGAGAGGAGGCAGAAGAAAAGAGAGGTAAGAAATGAGTGGAGAAGGAGGGTTGGCAAAGAGATAGAAAGACGAAGAAAATGAGCAAGAAAGAAATAGAAAATAAAAAGACGGAGAGAAGGAGGAGAGGATGGCATGAGGCACAGAGAGGTTAAGGCACAGCAGGGGAGAGTAAAAGAGCAAACAGGAGGAGAAACACACAGACGGAGAGAATTATAAGTATTTCAATGAGAGGTGTGAAATGATGGAGAGAAAGGAAAGGTGAGCGGCAGGTCCAAGGGAGAAGAATCAAGGAGGGAAGCAAAGAGAAAAGAATTAATGGAGACCTTGAGTTAAGAAACTGTACAAACTTCACAGCCAGCTCTCACATGGCGTAATGCATTAACGCACAACTGCTTCACACACACACACACACACACACACACACACACACACACACACACACACACACACACACCTCTCAGTGAGATGTGCACGTCAGTTTGTCACAGTCTTTATTAATGTTCACACGTTCTGCATAGTTCTGCTTAGTTTTAACAGTGCTGAGTGTTTATCTTAGGCCTGAGGGGATTAGGGAAATGTATAAACCTCTGCCTGGTTATCCTCATAATACATCTCCAAAATCCAAGTCACCGCTTCAGCCATCAGATCAAAACAATGACAGTGTTTTAATCACAATAAGCATTGGCCCGTGTGGAGTGTTAAAGTGGGGAAAGAGTTTGGCGTCTACACAAACATTTAGAGCCAGACTCCTCCAGAGTGGGCCTTTCGAATCAACAGGGAGTTAAAGTTAAAGGGGGTTAAAGTACAGTCATCCTTTTTAAAAACACAAAGATATAAAGTTGAATGTACTGTTTATGCAGCCAGAATGCCCCACATGATCAAGATGATGGGAAGATTCTTGTAAATATTGATTACTAAGCTATTCACACATCTAAGCATCTGAATTGTAGATTATAGTGCAAGTACAATGTCAAGTAAAGTTTAACGTTGCACAATTTCACCATTAAAACTTTTACTGCACCCAATATGCCATTTAACTATTTTATGCAGAGAGGCTGTTCTGAATACACGATTTCCATATTGTTGAGAAGTTGACCCAATTTTATGCATTCCTTTAGTTACTGCAGTTCAAATCAAGCAACTGCTGAACGTCGAGAGACCTGAGATGAACCAGCCACTTTATTTCCTTCCCTTGGCACTATCCTATATGAGATTTTGTAACTGCCATACTTTTTAACCACCTTTAAGGTACACGGACCAGATTTTCCCCTCCTCTTGAGAGGCACTCTAAGAAATGTGGAAAAAGTCTCTTCATAACACCCGGATAAACTGAACTGAAATGATAATATATGAAAAGAGCCAGAACTTGTCATTTCTCAAAGAGAAACATAAATCACTTGACTGAAAAGCAAAAGGTCAACACTTTAATAGTGGGTGTTAACTGCTCCCTCTTTTTGGCACCCTCCATCTCCGAACATATGGAGATTTTATTTGAGGGTGACCCTACGATAGTTTTTAAATCAAATGTTCATGCTGAGGCCTATTTTCCTCCCACATGTTCCCAATTGGGCTGGAGACAAAACTATCTTCCATTTATATTCCATTCATCTCAAATCAAATCAGATCTTCATTTTGGTCAACAGTGTCTCTCAAGCCTCCTGATTCCAACCGCTTAAATTACGTTAAATGAACATCAACAATGGCATCAACAAGCTGGGTCTCCCTCTGATGCCACAGGGTCCTGGCTTGTCTGTACCTGATGCAAGTTTCATCTAATAGCCGAATGTAAGTAAGTTCATTACCCAAACTCATCTAATGAGAAGCAGTGTGTTAATCAGACTCCAGTGCTGCGACGGGACACCATATGAATGCTAAGAGGTCTTTATTAGGGGTGCTCCAGACAGACCTCAGCCTGTCTGATTGACTGTCTGGCTGCGTGTCGAAAAGAGGAAGGAGGTGACAGCACTTCATGCAGGCTGGGATCAGCTTTCTGACTAGCCATTCAGTCAAGTGGTGAGTCAAGAAGTCACTTCCACTTGGGGAGACAGCAAGAAGGGAAAGTGTGTGTGACTGTGTGAGCCAATTGTGTAGGTGTGTGAGTCTGTGAGTGTGTGCAAGAAAATGTATCCAAGAGAGAGAGAAAGGAAAATCAAGACCTGGAAATGCGTATGTTTGTACATGTTGGATAAAGAGACAAAGGCGGGTAGAGAAACTGAGGGGGTGAAGGAGCATTTACAATTTGCAAGGGATAAGCGGCAAATCCGAACTTAGTGTTGCTGAGTCATGCTCTAAGGTTGGATCTGCCTCGTCTGTGAGGTGACTATTAAAAATTGACACGCTCAGTGTCTTCTAAAGTCCTGGCTGGAGATACAGGAGAAAAGAATAGAGGTGTGGGGGAGAGACGAGATGGAGAATAGCTTGCAGTAGGCAGGAAAAGTATACATGCTAATTTGCATTTCTGAAATTCTGAAAAGGCAAACATTGTGTATAGAGTAACAATTTGAACCTTGCCATTACACACTACCTCTGATTTCTCCCTTTGTATTTTACATATTCTCTCAGTCTTAAATCTTCCGTCTCACGCTCTCAAAACATTGGGTGTTCTCTTTTGTTTGTTCTCTCTGCAGCAGCATTATTTATTCTCCCGAGAGCTTGGCGCTCTGCAGATGACCCCATAAATGTAAGCAGAGCTAGTACCGGTGTAGTGGGTGGAGTTCCTGGAGGGAGAGCCCCCTCTCCCCGGCTGTTTGCCTCTTCCTTACCTGTAGTTACCCAGATGTTGCTTTTCATGCTCCTCCCTGGAGATTTGCTTGCGGACCTGTGCCAGTCGTTCTTTCTAGAAATAGGAGAAAACCAAAGGAAAAAGGATTAAATCTCTTAGGTGAAAGTCACTACCATAGCCACCTTATCTTTTTTTTTTTCTTCTATTAAATAAGAAAGAATAAAGTCTTAAAGAGGTGTTGCAAGAGGAGAGAAAAGTAAGTCTCACCAAACAATGAGGAATTGTTCAATCTACTGTTTTATTAATATGTTACAAAGGTATAATTATGGAACTCAGTTGGCCAGTTTGGCATTAAGCAGAGGAGGTGCTCACTCCACTACTGGCACTGCAGTATCATCGAGCTTTGAGTGATGTGTGCCTTCAATAGACCTGAACCTGGTCTCGCACTTCAGCCATAACAGCACTTAAAGATGAGGTAGTGCCCTTTTTAAAGTAGTGCCTCTGCGCCATCTTTCCTTATTCCCGCTGATTACTGCTGTGGCTGATCAAAAGGCTAATCAAAAAGGGAGGGAGGCGTAAAGTACTAGTAGCTGCCACTTTTCCTCATATATATGAGAAAAGCTCCCCTGACTCCTTCAAAAAGAAAATAATTAAATGGTATGCTTGTCTCAGAAAACTTAGACTCTTTTGACGCAGAGTAAGAAGTAAGTGAAGCTGAGTTTCTGCTAAGGTTTTCAACTTTTCTTGTTTTTTCTTGAAAGTGTATAACAAAAACACACTGGTGTTTGTTTACTGAAGTGTCCTCTGAAATAAGAATTTCTAATGTTTGTTTTTACAAACTGATTTATGTGTCTAATAAATGATATCTCTAAATACACCTGTCCCTGAAACCAAGCCACATTTTGTTTTCATTTTGGTGTGGCCTAAAAGGCTTTTTGGGTATTTTGTGACTTATGATCAGAGCTTATGACTGTACAGCCATTGTTTTATTCCCTAGGCTGGTTTTGGAAGTCTGGGTGGGGAAATGAATGAGTTTTACTCTTAACTCCCTTGACCATAGTCATGGTGCACCACCTTGTACAGCTGCTTAGCATCCCAGATGCTCCACTGCAGTTGGTCAGTTGCCAGCAGAGAGAATTGTGGTTTTACTCAGCAGATCCCAGGTGGGAATATGTGTGACTATATAAATGTTCTTTCTCAGCAAATCTCTTTGGAGTGAATAATAAGATTTCAACTAAATGGACTAGTATAATATTTTGTTTGTGCCTCACCAGCTCTTCTCTCCTCCGCTCCAGTGTGTGACGTTGTTTCTCCCAGTCCGAGGAAGCAGCAGAGAGTTTCTTCATGGAGCCATGTCCATAGAGCCGCCTCTGAGCCTCTGCCTTCTGCTGGGCCAGGTTGCGTTTCTTATCACTGGCTCTGGATCAACACAAAACAAGCACAGAGTCAACAGAATGCACATTTCCAGTACATTCTCTACGAATGAACATGTACAGTTCCTTTTTTAGTGTTTTCCCACTGAAGCTCTGACAAGTTTATCTATTTTACAATAATACTTTGCATATTTTATTAGCGTTCTTTTACAGGTTTAGCTGCTGTCGAGAAACAAATGTCTCAAATGTCTTAAGTGCTCTTTCCCATTCTCATTTGTTTTTTGTGACCACATCCTGTAATAGTTCTTACTCTATTTTATCACTACATACTCTGTTAAGAATAGATGCTATCAGAAAAAAGTGGGTTTCCTGAATGCTGTAAAGTATGATGAAGCTTGACAGCATACAGGTCTTATGCCTAACTCTTGGACTGACCTGAATTTGCCTTTTGATCACATAATTGTGGGAGTTAAAAACCCCTAATAAAACATTCAACAATACAGAGATAAAATATAGAGCTGAGACACAAACAAATCGACAAACCAAGGGTGAACAGGACCAGACAGCTAATTCTGAACAAGTGGGCCATTGCGGTCTGGAGAAAGGGCAATTCATTTTAGTCAATCGCTGGCCCTTTAAATTGGATATTGAGTGCTGTTGGGGGGCTGAGGTTCATCAATGTCCATGCCCGGCCGGGTCTGAATTGATCCCACGTTGATACAGTTGGTGCTGTGAGCCGAGTTGAGAGTCGACCCTACCTCTACACACCACCAACCCCTCCCTTTTGGGAAGCAAAGCATTACTATATAAGGAAAAAGTGAGCGAGGTAGAACAAAACCCTCATTCACTCCAGCATGAACATAAGCAGTTTGTCCAGTGGAGAGAGCTCCCCGCCGCTTTTCGAGGCCTCCTACGATTTATTTGTCATGAAATAATCAAATCTCCCCTTTTAATCTGTGGGAACACGGCAAACAACAGCCATGAAACAAATCATTTTGATAAGAGATTTGTTTGTGCCGTCTGAAGCTGGGAGGGAGGATGGAGTGAGTTTTTATGTAGGATGGCTGCACCACGCTCCACACTTGGCCAAACTAGATCTATGGTGCTGCATGTAATTGATCCATTGTGTGTGTGTGTGTGTGTGTGTGTGTGTGTGTGTGTGTGTGTGTGTGTGTGTGTGTGACTAGTTGAGTTGAGACTATATTTAGAGCAGTAAGAGGAGGACAAGCACAGAGAGAGAAAGAGAAAAAGAGAGCAGAGATCCAGAGGTCTGGTGTACGATGATCAATCAGTGGACAGACTCACTGTAGCCTTGGGACAGAAAAGCATGCCAGCAAACACACACACACACACACAAACACACACACACACACACACACACACACACACACACACACACACACACACTACATATATACAAAAAATACATTACACAACAAGAATGACAGTATGTATAACCTAAAAAGGCAAACAAATACACCCGCAAAGTAAAGGACCACCACAGGAAGCTTATATAAATATACAGAGACGGATAAACAATGTGGACTACAGATAGCGTAACTGTTATCCTGTTCCTATCACACATACACACACCCACAGCGTGTCTGATTGAAGGGTGCACAAAGCGCACAATAGAGGCATAGCTTTGCACCTTGGCCATTATCTGTCTTTGTATCCACCACAGCAGCACCAACACACAAATTTACAAGTACAGCATTTTTTTTGTCCAGAGCTCAAACTTCCTGTTAGTTTCAGACTAATGTCACTATTGTGTCCTCAGTTTGAAAACAAAACAGGACTGAGGCTGAATTGTGCCGTGCATCAAAGTAATTGCAAAGTTTTCAGGGTTGCCAAATAAAGAACACTGAAAGAATCGATTGAAATCTTTAAACATTCAGAGAAATAAATAAATAATGAAATAAAGTTTGACGTGAGGTTTGCCTGTCTGTGCACATGAAACTTAATGGGGCCCCAAGATGCAATTCATGTGTGTCTATCTGCAAGCACGAGCATGTGTGTGTATGACCGTGGCAGAGAACAGTACCGAATGTTGAGGAGTTTTAGAGCGTTGAGCAGCACCCCTTTCTTCACGTCGTAATCAATCTTCTGATCGGTCCCAAAGCTTGGAGCTCGATTGATCTGCCAGAGAGGAGAGGAGAGAAACATTCAAAGAATATTCTGGGTTTTTATTTTTTTCTACTTTTTTTTTTCTTTCTTCTCTATTCAGCAGACAGAAATGCTATGCAATTACAGGAGTGGATTTAGGGCATCTTTGGAAAAAAGAGATCTGTTCCCACAAGAAGGAGCGGAAAGAGGAGAGAAGAAGGGAGAAAGAGATGGGAAGGGAGGGTTCTTTTTTCCTCTTTCAAGGACATTTTGGAATTCTTAGCCTTTGCCTGGGCATAAATCCTGTCTTGACACTGATGTGTGTATGCTTGTGCATGGAGAAGAGCCTATGTGTGTGCATAAGAACAGATTGTGTAGGTTAAACTGTCACCAGATTAGTGACCTTGCCCTTTTCAGCCAACCACAGCAAACAGTCCACGTGTCTGTAACATAAGTATGCCAGGCACTGCTGCACCTATCCATACCACTGCCGCCAATTATCTCTTTGTGAGCATCAGCGAATCACCATCGCTCAGCTCAATGCCATCATATACAATCAGGGAGCGCTCACAGAGAGTCAACTGAGCGAGAACAAAATAAGCCACCTGTGATTTGAGGTACAAAAACCAGTATCACCTTGGGAAAAATTCAAGAGCAGCTTACCTTTCTTATCAGAACAATTTCCAGCACCGGTGCAAGGTATTCAGATATCAGTTATTATACCTGACACAACAAATCAATTCTTCGCCTTTACTCTTTGTTATGTTCTCTCTGTCTCTCTCCCAAGGTGAGGAAGAGATTGTTTGAGACAACAAAAGGACCAGCAAATGGAGAGAAGTGCAGAGGGAGGGTGAATGAACTGGCAACTGTGATTGGAATGGTGTCTTCCTATGAGGTGACTTCAAATGACAATGCAACAGATGCCCACCAAAAGGCTGGCTCGGGTTGATAAACCTTGATTATTGAGATAAGTCAGGTTTCCTCCTAACATTGTTCAAACGTTCAAACCGCCTATATTCTTTTTCATGTGAGAACAATAGCATGACTGGCACCTTTTGATGTCATAAGATTTGTAATAGCTTTAATAAAGTTGTATTTTGTTGAATGAGTGCCAGTAACTACATGTGAGAGATGTGAATGAATTTATTCAACACAAAGGAATATCTGACTTAACAGGTGTACAATAAATCTCTAGAACAGAACATCACCCACTAACAAGGTGCAGACAATGGCCTGATAAAATTAGGAAAAAAAAATATAATCCACGTAGGGACATTAATGTAACATATGTTATTACTACTGCCGTACTATGACCCAACATACCTACACACTGTTGGTGAAACTCAATAACCATCAAATCAGTCAAATGAAAATCTCTGCTAATCATTAGCTGGAAAAGCATCCTTCCTTAATCTGCAGTCAGAGTGAGTATTTGTGTCTGAAACATTATTCGTCCTGTTCCTATCTTCCTTTAGAAAAGGCAGTTGGATACAGTTGAACTCATCAAAGCAGCACGGCAGCCAATCACTAATCGTGATTTCAGTAACAGAGCAACGCTGAGCCAATCAGAGGTGTTCTATTTCGTCCACCAATTGGGAACTTGGGTAAAGAATAGTGGAAGAGGCCAATGGTGTGCAACATCAGGCCATTTGGAACCATAAACATTTTGGCTGAAAACAGGCAAAAGCTTCTTTACAGAGATGTGCAAAGCATCTCAAGGGTTGCGGGGGTAGCACTCAGAAACTCCATCCCCTCTTTCTCTTCCCTTCCTCTGAACTAGCCATTACTAATCCAGACACAAAGGTGCTTACTGCTGTGTGGCAGATTTGGGAACAGTGCAGTAAGATAATATTTACATCACAACCGGGCTCCAAGGAACAGAGAGACCCAGAGCTTTGACTGTGTTGCCAGCCATGGGGCAGGTAGCCCAAAAAGAGAGCAATAACTACTGAAAGATTGTCCATTTGGATCATGAGCCAACTATAAAAAAATTCTGGGCAGGCTTAAGTGAATCAATAAAGCTGCCCCCTATATTAACAGCTACTCCCATATTGTCCTTCAGCAAGACACCTAAACCCCAACTCCTACGAAGCATATGAATATGGTAGCACAAGGACGCTTCCACATCTAGCAGTGTAAAAGAATATGTGACTGAGAGCACACAAGAACAAGAAAACGTATCCCAAGCCGTAGTGGTCTTTGTTAACCTGAAGTATCTGCATACCATTGCTGAGCCTGTTGGGCCCATCACTGCCCGTGTCATTTCGACTAGGTCAGGATAGATCCACAATCACCACAAGTGAGCCACTAAATCTACCCCAACATGATGTGGGTTTGTATGGGCATGCCTTCGTAAGTGTGTGCGCACACCCACATGTGCGTTTTTCTACACAGCAACCATTTATCAGAAGAAGGGGGGGGTTGATGAATGTCTCCCAGCGCAAAAAAAAAGAGGAAAAAAGGAACAGAGACCCTATCCAACTCTTTCACTCAATAGAATGAAGTCTACAATACATCCCTCTGTGTGCTGAGAGGGACAGAGCTCCACTTCAACCTACAGTACCTTACCTAAGGGAAAAAAAACTCTACAAAAGAAAAAGAGGGAAAGAGGTCTGTTTTCATTTAGAGCACTCCCCGATATGACAGACACAATGAAAAGAGTATGGCTTTAGAGCGCCGTAGCCTATAGGTAACAGCCAGACTGGCAGTGATCCTGGCGACGGTTGTCTCGTTACTTGTCTTCATTTCTTAGTTTGATTTGTGGTGTCAAGCTGTCACAGAGTAGACTGGCATCGCGGCACTCACTGTCTCTCTTTGCTCTCCCTCAATCTTTCGTTTTTTTCTCATTCTACTCCCCGCCTGTCGCACGCTTCCTGTGGTTAGTTTCTCTTTCCACCCTGTTTCTTGCTGTCTCTCGCCCCGTTTTCTGTCTGGTCACTCATCTCCTCCCTCAGCTCTCTAGCCCTCACTCTCTGGTGGTTACCTCTCTTATTCATTTCCCTCTCTGTGTTTCTGTGTTCTCCTTTTTCTCCCTGGCAGAGGAAGTTGGACCAGTCTGGTCCTAATGAACCCCTGCAGGCTCCCAAAACCCCCACTCTGATTTCCTTAAGTGACTCTGGCAGGGTCTTAAAGGAGCCCTCCGTTGCTCCAAGACGCATTCAATAAAAACGTCAGATGAAAAGATTAGAAACTCCTTTCTACTCATGCTTTGATTTGGTTCAGCATCAGCATCGCATCAATGTAGTCCAAATATCACTCGGTCAAACAGCAGAATGAGAATGTAGAAAAAAGAACCTATCAGGGGGTAATTTTTCACAGAACAGGTTTAGTGTCATCTGATCGTCCAATTAAACATACATAGATCAGCGGGTGAGCTGCAAACCATTAACATACTCTATACAGGACATGTAACTCTTTCATTTTCTGCACCTGGAGGTGTGTGACTGAGACACATAAGTGACTTGCCAGTGTTTCTGAAGGCAGTTTTGAAATGAAGCTTGTGGTAGGGGGGCGTTATTACATTTTCTTTTCAACTATCCATTTGGTTTGAATTGTTGTGAACTGCAAACCTGTCCACTGATCTTTACTGCAGGTCTTAAAACACAGACAGAGAGGTAGAAGTGAAACGAGGAAATTTTTACGTGCCTTATTTTATTTGATATAGTTGATCAATTTGGGAATTTCTCTTTAACTTCCAGTTTGGACGGAGGGTCTGCCCCCGGAAGTGTATTGTTCATATAATCGCTGTATAGCAAAATCAAAGCCTGACAATAACACTATTATTAACAAAGCCATAGGCCATTCTGCACACCTAGAGACGATAAACTCAATCTCAGTTCATATAGTATGACAATGACAATTACTCAGATTCCAAATCCGTCCAACAATTTATTATTATCATTTCAATTATGAATAAACCCAGTAAAAAAATGACTCACTCATTGTTTAAAACATCGTGGGCATCAAACAGTTTGTGCCTGTGGCCTCTGCTGTGTCACACCGATCCTAATAACATAGCAACGGGAACGGATCAACAACAATCAGCTGCTTTCTTTCCATAACAAATTGCTTCCCCCCATCTACATCTATTCTGTGTCTGGAATATTCGTCAAACAAGTGCAAGGGCTGCTTGTGATTAATCGGTTCAGAAAAACGACCCCTTCTTATTATTCCTGGCAGAGTGTAAACAACCACTGCTTTGACAAGCCTCCCATTCTGCCCCGCACACTCGAGGGTATCGGCACAGTTCAACCGCTGTCAGAATGGAGTGTTTGTTGCAGCACAATGGTAGAATAAGAAAGGGAGGCAGAGAGGGAGAGCATGAGTAGCAGAGCGACAGAAAGACAGACAGCTGGCCGCCATGTTAAGTCGTTCTCTTGTTTCAGCCGTCTTATCAATCACTGTTTTGTTCTTTTTGTGGCATTTTTAGTGGTCCTGTCGGACACAGGGAAACTCTAGCTGAGCATGCTGAGCTGCTGGTAAAGGTCCTGGGAGTGAGCGGGCCAACGCTTAGCTTAGCCACCAGTCAACCTGACCTGCCTGACTGGCTGGCTGGCGGGGTGCAGAGAGAGTTGCTTTTTTCTGTTTTCTTTGTTTTTTTTGAAGACACATAGAGATACAATCATATGCAGCCACAAAAATACAAAACAAAATGTGCTTTGAAGGTGCACAAAAAGGCAAGGGTGGACATAGTTATGCAGCCGCACACACAAAAACACACAAACCGAAATCCCGGGACCGACAAACTATATAAAAATATATCAACAAAACACACCTAAGATCCGAAACTATCAGGCATAAATATGCAAGGATATATCTTCCTTTACTGTCTCCTGCCCACTCTATCCCACACACTATAGTTCCATATGTCACTCATAAACATACAATATATATCTTCCCACTCAATCACATGCATGCACACAAACACAGAGACACACACACACACACAGTCACTGGTGCTGCCATACATGCCTGATGATAAATGACTAAATGTTCGGGTGTGTTTTCAACTGCCCCACATACGAGGCCTGTGC